TTAAAAAAGGACTTCTTGTTGTCCTTAATCTGGGAAGCCAGCCCCTGTTCCATCTCTGCCTTGGCCTTCCTAACCATCCCCCTACATCCCCGAGCAACTGCAGAATAGTCCTCCTTAGTGATGACCCCTCCTTTCCATTGGGAGTAAGCCTCCTTTTTGGCAAGGAGACATTCCCGGATGTTTTTAGTGAGCCATGGAGGCTTATATGCTCTCCTGCCCCCTTTGACCCTCCTGGGGATTACCTTCCTCTGGACTCATCCCTGAGAGGCTCTGCCATACCTTAGCACCTGCTGGAGCCGGGCCCAGCTCTCTTTGACATCTCTGTGTTTGTGAGTGATGCGTGTTACCAGGCTGGGATGGAGACTGATGAGCTGAGACACAGTCACATCCAACATCTGGAGGAGAGAGATGTGAGGAGTGAGCTAACGAAGCTGGCTGTAGATGGGCCTCCTGAGGCCAGAGCTGAACTCAGAGGCTGTTTGGGCAGTGCAGGCTATGCTAAGTCCTCTGGGAGAAGGTGATAAGCAGGACAGAGAGGCCCTTGTTCCCTTCTCACAAGCCTTCCCACTGATCCCTCCTCTTCATGCATTAGCCCCTGCCCAACATCCAGCATTCTCTGAGACTCTGGACATCTGAGGGCAGCCCAAGATGCAGCCACCTCAGCTAGAGAGGTTTCAGAGCATGACACACAGTAATCCCTCCATGCTGACAGCTCAGGCAGACATGGATTTGACTGCAGCCCATGCCACCCAGCCCATACCATCTCAGTGACCAAGTCAGATGCCAGAGGGAGAGGTCCCTTTAAGGCACATACCTCACTTCTCCAGCAAGGTGTTCCCTGTGGTTCTGGGGCAGCACAATGCTCAGCACTTACCATCACCTGGCTGGCGATGTCCCTCACATCTTGGTCCCGGCTGGGATCAGCCTCCCCCTGCTTCCCCACTCCGTAGAGGCTCCTCCACTGCAAGATGAAGTAGCAGTCATGGTCCCCTCAGAAGTGTGAGGTGGGAATAGGGCCCAAACCTCTGGAGCATCACTAGAGCATCTGAATATCTCTCCATGAATGATCCTAGCCCACAGCACCACCTAGGCTGGGGGAGCCTTTACCTAACAGGGGCTGCTTCCTCCCATCCAACTCCCAGTGGGGCAAGGGTTATCAACTCTTGAGGCAGTGGCAGCGATACAACTCATGGGCTGATGCCCCAAAAGCAGGCTGAGTGAGAAGCAGCTCTGTCAGGTGACTCAGGACCAGAACAGGGGGTCAGTGGGATGTCACCTTTCTCTAGGCCTCAGCAGAAGTGCTCAGGAACACCCACATTTCTCAAGAGGCCAAGCAGGCCCACAGAGGAGAAGCTCCACATCCGGCCCCACATTCATTCCTAACTTCTCATCACAGTGGGCTCCACTTCCCTCCAAGGGGCTGAGGAATGGGGTGCAGGACTCATCCTGGCTCCAAGTTTCTAATTTCAGCTCCCACCCAAAGGGAGGGAATGTGGTCAGTGGGAAAGCCCACTTCACTGACTGGACAGGTCAGAGTGGGGAAGATCCAAGCCCCTTTTCTGGGGCATCCTCCACACTGCATTACAGGTGCCCATTGTCCCCGCTCAACCCTGCTGAGATCCTGAGCTTTACCCACTGAACTCATGGCCAGAGAGGAGTGCAAATGGTTCAACAACACTGCTGCGACCTCAGCTGACTGTGGGTTTCCCTGAAGAGCCAAGTCTGGAGCACTCACCCTGGCTTCCTGGGGCATAGATATCGCTTGCGCAACATCCCTAATCGCCTTGCTGCCCAGGTGCCAGGGCTGAGAGCAGAGCAGAGATTTTTCCAAGCCACCCTTGCAACAGCTATCCCAACACTTATATAGTCCCAGCACCAAGGGGAACCAGGGTCCAATCTTGGTCTAAGCACTGGGTACCTTGGCATGGATGGCTTCAAGGAGCATGTCTGCTTGCTGGAGGAAGGCAGCTGCCTCCAGGGCCAGCTGCAGAGTCTCATGATGCTCCTTCAGGGTCCCCTGGAGCCGCAGCCACCTGGAAGAAGAGAGCATGAGGGGCTAGAGGAGACAGTGTGGCCCAGTACAGCTTCCACACGCATTCCCATGGGAACCTGGTGAGAAGCTGGAGATGGGAGGCAGGAGCCTTACAGTCACAAAACGCAGACCCAGACCTCCTCATGCTCAGCCTTCCTAACTCTGGGCAGTGGTGACTCATCCCTGCCCCGTGCCCCTGGCTCACATTTTGTTGAGGTGCTTGCGCCGGGCGGAAATGCTCCTACTTTCACTCCTGCCCTGCTTCTCCAGTCTCTGGGCCAAGGTGTTCATCTCCTCGTGCAGGCCATGGAACCGCTGCTCCTCCTGGGCCAAGACAGAGGGAAACAGAAGTAGCACAAGCAGCCAGTGCCCATGGAAGAGCTAAGCCCCTGCACGAGCACTCACTGCTGAGGTGTGGACAGCAGCCACTGGGTCCAAGGCTCCCAGCACCATGGGCTCTGCCCCCAACTGGAGTGGCTTTGAGGAGTGAACTTGGGTCCATGAAAGCTTCTGCTCTCTCTCTTGCTCTCTCTATATATATATATATATTATTTAGCTAATATATAAAGGTGCATATCTACCCTGCTTTTTGAACACCTACCCTTTGCTTGTAGTACCAGGGAGCACCGTGTCCATCAGTAGATATATGGAGAGGCCTCCCCAAAAGAAAGCATGGTGTTAGTGAGTTGCCTGCAGCTCAGCCCCATAACAGATCCCATATGTGTGGTTATGTCACCAGGCCTCCCCAATGACCCTGAATGAGACCCTCTGCAGTGGGGAGCTGAGATAGGGCCTGAGGCAGGAAATCCAAGGTGAGGAAATGCATCATTCCCTGGGAGCTGGGGGCTCAGCTATAGTGGAGAAGGCCAGGGGCCTGTGGGAGCAGGACCCTGGGGACTGAGCCACTCTTACCTGCTTTAAGTCAAGGATGCGGCGGGTGAGCTGGATCTTGTCCAGGCTCTGCTGCAGGAGGGCAGCCAGCATGGGCTTCTCTTCCTGGGACAGATGGGGGCTAGTTACAACACGGAGATGGCAGAGGAGGTAGGGAGACCTCCAGAGGAACTGTCCCCTCCTGAACCCAACAGCAAGCGGGGAGGGAAAGCTGACAAACATGAGGGGTTCAATTCCCTGCTCACCAGGTGACCTCTGGCAACCTCTGTCCTTACGGCCCTGCACTTCCCATATGGTGGCTCTTGCTCCAGAGCCTTAGCAGAATGGTGTGGTGCAGAAATGCCCCTTCAGGGGGAAGGTCCCTAGGAAACTGTGGAGGGCTGGGGCACAGGAAAAGCCTGAACGAGGACCCATCTAGTGCAACCGTGGCCATACCTTCTGCCTGATCCAGGCTTCCAGCTGCTCAGCTTTCCTGTTGAACTCCTGGAGGCTCCTCAGCCCGCCCAGGGCTTTGCTCTGATTTGAGGCTGTCTGCTTCAGCAGCTGCCACTGTTCCCTCAGGGCCAGCAGCTGCCTCCTGACAGTCTCCACGCTGGGGCTGGGCCAGCCCATGAGCTGCTCACCCATCTGGGGAAAGAAGGGGAGGGAAGGGTCTCAGAGTCACAAGGCCTGCTTTGGAGCACTGGCAGTGCACAGGGGCAGCTGGGGGAGGAATGCAGGGGTAGCACCAGGTGGGCTCTGGGACACTGAGGGGGTGGGGGAGAAGACACATTGATCAGGCCAGTAATACATCAGGATGCTGGGTGGACCCCTGGGGGCTGAGTGGGTCCTGGAGCCCCACCCCCATACCTGGTTGAGTTTGATCAGTGTGTTCTCAAAATCC